CCTTGAGCTCACTTTGTAGCCCAGGCTGGCCTCGAACTTGCAGTGATCCTCTTAACTTAGCTTCCCGAGTTCTGGGATTACAGGCATATGCCACTACGCCTGGCATAAATCGTACTTTTAAAATTACCTATCAACAACAAAAGCTTGACCAGCCCTTATTATCAGTATTTTGAAATGATCGTGAGTTGCCCAGGAACATGGGAATATGGGGACAAAACTATTCTCTTGGTCTCCAGATGTAAAATCTGGACACGACAGATTTGAGTGAAGTATGCAGTGTAGCCATTTATTTATTAATTCACTTATTTTTGTGGTACTAGGGATTGAACCTAGAACCTTCACACTGAGCTGTATCCCCATCCCTTTCTAAATTTTTAAAATTTTGAGACAGGGTCGCATTAAGTTGCTAAATTGCTCAGGCGGGACTTGAACTTTCGATCTTCCTGCCTCAGCCTCCCAGAGTGCTGGGATTACAGTAGGCAGACCCCCATGCCCGGCTCGTTGTTACCCTTTAAAAAGGCAGAGTAACACTCCACCTCTCGGAGGCTGGGGCTGTAACCGGACAGGACCCACAAATACCTGGAGGAAGAGCATTGCTGAGGTTGCTCAAGGTCAGTGGCCCGCTCTGTAGTAGAGCAGGGGCGTCCAGGAAAAAGCTCCTCATGAAGTGAATGTTGGCGGTGCCCTGGCAAGCCTGTTGGGGCATTCTGCTATTTGATTTCTGTGCAGGTTCTCCGAGGTTAAGTAAACGTACCGACTGCACGACCTTCAACTATTCTGGTGCCCGTGACAGTCATTTCTAATTATAAATGAGTACATGGACTTTTGACTGGGGAGGGAAAGTGCTCATCCTGTCCTGTGGACCTGAGTGGGTTTTTGTTTTTGTTTTTTTGGTTTTTTTTTTGGTCTTTTTGAGACAGGGTCTCACTATGCAGGTCAGGCTGGCCTTGAGCTCACTTGGTGGTCCAGGCTGGTCTCAAACTTGCAAGGATCCTCCTGCCTCAGCCTCCTGAGTGCTGAGATTACAGGCGTGCGCCACCATGCCCGGCATGGACCTGCGTGAGTGTTTTGATCCTTGTTTAACCGACTACCTGGTTAACGACTATTTGGGCGGATGACCCGCTGCTCAGACTAGGGACCCATCTTTTTTTTTTTTTTCTTTTTTTCAGTTCTGTACATCTTCATGGAGACTCAGTGTCTTTTTTTATACAGTACCCTTGTCTAGATGGCATTGTAATTTTTGTTGATTGTACGGTATAGTCCAGTACTATAGTTCTATGTTCTGTTATACATTACAGTAATGCCATGCAAATAAAAGCAAAGTCATCCAGGTGGAGTTTCCTTTGACCATATCTTTGTTCTTAACACTGTACATGCTATCCAGTTCCTCGCATAGTGAGAAAATAATTTAACGACTTCATTGCAGGAACCGAACTGTCCTTAAACTAGGCGTGCCTGTATTAGGGCCAGCATTTTCTCACTGCAAACTAGTAAGCTGACAAACTGTATGGTAACTCAGCTCATGAAGCTTGTTTGTAGATCCAGCTGAACGATGCATCTACTCTAGAAGTATTGGCCGGATGTGTTGGGTTTGCCCGGCTGAGGGCAGACAGGTTGCAGTGTGTGGCAATTTCACCAAGGAAACTACTTCTGCCCTTGAATCCCTTTGGGAAATGTCTCGCTGGCCAGTTTTTCTGGTAGTGACATTAATAATGACACACCAGGAGAAGTATTTGTTTCTACAATCTGAACATTAGCTATATGGACAGAGTGTCCAACTTCAGCCGCCTTTCTAAAAGACAGCTTGAAATCCAGTTTCTTTTTTTTGTTTTTGTTTTTTTTTTCTGGTACCAGGAATCAAACTCACGACCTTGCGCTTGCCAGGCAGGCGCTGCACCGCTGAGCTAAATCCCCAGCGCCTAGTTTCTTAACAATAAGTAAACGATCAAGATAGAAGCATTGTCTGCTTCCGGTGGTCCCCGTACTGAACTCACCAATGGACATTTGATGGCATGATCCAAAAATTACATACACTACGGAAGAGCAGAAAGCCGAATAAGCGACATTCAGAGGCGGAATCAGTTGCCTCGTCAGCAAACTAAGTACCAGACCTGAAAAGCAAGAAAGTCAAGTAAGAAGAGCTAGCTCGGCTTTTAAAAGTCACTCTAAATAAAAACTGTACAGAATGGTAGAATAACAATGACCCATGTGAAGCCAGACACGGTGGTGCATGCCTACAGCGCACGCCTGTAATCCCAACACTCAGGAGGCTGAGGCAGGAGGATCCTTGCAAGTTCAAGCCCAGCCTGGGCTACAAAGTGAGCTCAAGACCAGCCTGAACTGCATAGTGAGACCCATCTCAAAAAGACAAAATAATAATAATAATAATAATAAATTTTAAAAATCACAACTACTCAGGAGGCTGAGGGAGGAGGCTACTGAGCTAGAGGCCAGCCTGGATAACTTAGGTGAGAACTTGTCACAAACAAACAAACAAACACACACAATAAAAACAGCTGCCTGAGGATGGCTGTGATAGTAGTATCTGTTACGGCTGTGTCTAGGTGTCTTCCCATAGCCTGATGCTGTCATAGGTGGAGTTTTTCAGAGGTGGCTGGATCTAAAGTGTGAGGTTGACCTGTGGTGAATACTGGGATTAAGGGGACGGGGGCTTAGCTCAGTGGTGCAGTGCCTGCCTGGCAAGTATGAGCTCCTGAGTTCAATCGCTGGTACCCAAAACTCCCCCTGGGATTAAGGGTGTGTGATTACTAAATCAGTCCACTGGTTGGGTTGGCACCATCCTTATCCCAGTAGCCTAGATATAAAAGGGGCAGAAAGACACTGTTCAGGCCCCTTGCTGCTTTGCTACCTTCTGCCCACTGCTGGGAACCACAGAATCACAAAGGCTAATTTTTTCGCATGCTTCCCTAAGGGATAAATGGAGGCTTGGGATTACCAGTATCACTCTTTTAGATTTCCCATTCACTCTTTAGATTGGGCCATCCTCTCCCACCCAGTAACACTAAACTAAGACCACTAAGATTAAAAACACTTCAAGGCAAGATCTTTCTTAGCGTAAGATCATCTCAGCCCTCCCGAGGGAGCTCGCACTTGCCAGGCAGCCACTTGTTCGCTGAGCTATAGCGCTGGCTCACCAGGGTATGTGCTTTTCCGTGTTCAGAATCAAGACCTAGAAGTGAAAGGTGTTTCAGCCTATGATAAAGAACAGAAGTGGGCGTGGTTAGCACACTGGGAGGCTGAGCCAGGAGGGTTGCAAGGTTGTAGCTGTCCATGAGTCCTTGACTTTTGACTCTTCCACTGACCTTGAGTCTCCCAGGTTGCCCCTCCTGTCAGTGTGGCTTGGGGCGTCTTTGTCTCTGCCCATCCTCAGGCAACGGCCTCCGAGCACCAGCACCCTCCCATCATGCATTACTAAATTTGCCTGTTTCTTATTTCATCCTTTCACTGTACCCCTCCTACAGGCAGCTGGGGATCTTGGCCAGGTCCCCAGTCACCCATGATGAATGCTTCTCCTCTGCAATGCCCCTCTGCCAAGTCACCCAGCCTTGCAACCAGCCAGTTATGGACTAAACCTCTACAAACCGTGAGCCAAATAAACCTTTTCCCCTTTAACTTTGGGTGTCAGGTATTTTGTCTCAGCAACAAGAAAAGTAGGAGCTGGGGATTTAGTTCAGTGGCAAAGCGCCTGCCTGGCAAGCGCAAGGTTGTTAGTTTGATTCCTGGTATCAGAAGAAAAACAAAAAAACAGAACAAAAAACCCCCAAAAAGTTGTGGTAAGAGAAATGGCTCCCATAACTATTTGCTGGGCAAGGTGGCACACGCCTGTAATCCCAGCACTGGGGAGGCTGAGGCAGGAGGATTGTTGTGAGTTCGAGACCAGCCTGGGCTACAAAGTGAGCTCAAGGTCAGCCTGAACTGCATAGCGGGACCCTGTCTCAAAAAAAGATGGAGCTGGAGCCAGAATGAAATCCACAGAACTGGCTCGAGTCTGGGATGATATATATGGTCTCGCCCACGTGCCAGGCACTCCCACCTCTGCCCCAACTCTCACTTTCTTTTCTCAAATGCACCATGAAAATGTGGAATCTCTTAAGCAAATGGATTAACATGCATGGTGTCATGTTTTGGATGCTTTTAAATCCAGACCTCCTACTTTGAGGGTGTTCCTCAATTTATATCAAAATTATATAT